CTCTCGACACAAGGCCAGCATGGCCTTGTTGTCTGCGTACAGCACTGAAGGAGAACGAGGCGGCTCTCCGAGGTCAGTCAGCAGGTAGGTGAGCCAGCGAAGCTCCTGTACAGCCATGGCCCCGGCATAGATCTCAGCCTCACAACTGGAGCCGAGAACAGAAGACGAGCGGGTAGCCCGCCACGAAACAGAGCCGGAACCAAGGCTGAAGGTGTAACCCTGTGACGACCGCTGCGTAGCGGTCGTCAGCCCAAGAAGCGTCTGCGTGCCCAGTGAGGACCACTGGACTCTGCCCTCCAAGCACAAGCACCATGCCTGACGTACTGCACAAGTAGCGCAACACCCTCTTCGCTGCAGCCATGTGCTCCGGTCTGTGTCTCCCAGGAGCAACATAGCGTGCGAGAATTCTAAGAGGGTATGCAAGGTCAGGTCGATTGCAGGTCATCAGGTACATGAGGCAGCCAACAAGCTCTCGGTACGGGCCACTTGACTCTACGGACTCATCCGAAGGCAGAGCTGAGAGCGAGTGGCGAGTAGGCAGATGAGTGGCCTAAGGCGAGGAGTACGTGAAGCCGAAGCGCTGAAGGACCTGCTGCACCATGTGTGACTGAGTCAGGGTAATGGTGCGGCGTGCTCTGTCCCGGGTGATCTGCAAGCCAAGGTAGCTGCGCAGTTCACCCAGGTCTCTGCACGTGTGTCTCTTCTTCAGCTCGGACTTCACGTGGGCTAGTCCAGCACTGTCAGCTGTGGCAAAGACCAAGTCGTCGACGTACACGAGGATGTAGAACAGCGGCAAAGAAGTGTCGGTGCGCAGAAACAGCGACGGGTCGGCAGTAGAGGGAGCAAACCCAAGAGCCGCAAGTGTAGTCCTCAGTGTGTCGTGCCACTCACGCGATGCCTGGCGGAGACCGTAGACTGGCCGTTGGAGGCTCCACTCGGTGCCAGGAGGAAAAGACCGAGTGAAGCCAGGTGGGCGGCGTAGCCAGATCTCCTCGTGCGGGCTGCCCTGCAAGAAAGCTGTGCTGAAGTCAAGAGAGTGAAGCTCGTAGACACGGTGAGCAGCTATGTGCAGCAGTATCCGAAGAGTGGTCATCTTCGGGGTGGGAGAGAAGGTCTGAAAGTAGTCAACTCCCTGCCGCTGACTGAAGCCACGAGCCACGTAACGCGCCTTGAAGACAGGCGGAGAACCCGGCGGCCGCTTCACCCTGAAAATCCACATGCCACTGACGATGTTCGCCCCAGACGGGGGAACCTCGTCAACGTAGGTGCCTGTGGACTTCCAGGAAGCCATCTCTGCGTCCATAGCTGCCTGCCACTAAGAGGAGTAGGGACCCTCTATCGCCTCCACGTAAGAGCGCGGAGTCGGGATGTCAAGTGCATCCGGGTCTCCCTCAGGGGTAAGCAGTACGGACACGAGATGAGGTGAAGCAGCAGCCAGACACTGGAACTCCTCCTGCCTGTCCTCAAGGACGTCCGTGCCAAGGGCACACTCACCCCCGATGGACAGAGGACAGACAGACTCAGACTCAGCAACAAGACTGGCGGCGTAGTCTAGGCGACAGCGAGCAGCAAAGTCGACGAGCTCAGCAACTAGGGCAGACGCAGCAGTGGACTCAAAGGAAGGGTCAGTGACAATAGTAGCAAGGAGACGCGTGACAGTAGGACTGGCAGCACGAAGAGAGTCCGACTCCGGGTCGGCAAGAGCAGGAAGAGAAGACTCAGGAGGAGAAGGTAAAGGGGCACGCAGAGGAGCAGTGGACGGACGCAGAGACATCCGGTGCGTGCCAGGGACAGGAGGAGGACGCTGACGCGAACCGCGACCACTAGTGCGAGCAGCACGGACAGGCGACGCAGGGCGAGACGCAGGCTCACGACGCTCAGCAAGACCTCTAGTAGGACCAGTGTAGGGAGACGAAGCAGGCAGTGGGGAGGCCGGCTGTAACTGTAACTGTGATGGGCAGGCTGTGGACACTCGAAGGGAGGAGGAGGACCAGTAGAAGGCGGGAGACCAAGAACCTGCTGAAGGAGCGGAACGAAGTACGGCCGAGGCCGCGCGGCGACTCCAGACACAGCAGGGACAGCACTAGTACCCCCAGCGGCAGCACCAGCACCAGCAGCACCTCCAGCTCCAGTACCTCCAGCAGCACCAGTAGCACCCCCAGCAGGACCGCCTCCAGGACCGACAGCCGTAGCCTCCGCGCCAACACCCGCAGCAGCTCCAACTCCAGAAGTACCCGCAGGCCCAGCAGCTCCAGTACTCCTAGTACGAGCACCTCCGGGACCCGCGGCAGCAGCACCCTCAGCAGCAGCAGAACCTCTAGTATGCGCAGCACCTCCAGCTCCAGCAGCTCGCCTCCAGCGCCGGGCAAACCACTCACGCAGCTCCTATGGAGAGAGTGGCTCCCGGCGAGACGAAGCACCCGGAGAACCGCCAAGCACAGCACCGCCAGACGCCACAGGAGCAGGCCCAGCTTCCTCAGGCTCAGCACCTCCAGACTCAGCACCTCCAGGCGTAGCACCCCCAGGCGTAGCTCCCCCAAGCTCAGCACCCCCAGGCTCAGCACTCCCAGGCTAAGCACCCCCAGGCTCAGCACCCCCAGGCTCAGCACCCCCAGGCTCAGCACCCCCAGGCTCAGCACTCCCAGGCTCATCACCACCAAGCTCAGCACCCCCAGGCGTAGCACCCACACGCTCAGCACCCACAGAGTCAGCACCCCCAGGCTCAGCACCCTCAGCAGCACCAGAGTCACCAGCGACCTCGACATGCTCAACAGCGTCTACCTGGGACACACCTGAAGGGGCAGGACCCTGAGGGGGGAGGGGGTCTACCGGGGGGGGACCTGGCACAAGGAAGAGCGGTGGCGGGGGGAGGGACGGAGTGCGGTAGGGGAAGAGACGGTAGTAGGGGACCGACTCGTCGAACGTGACGTCCTGGGAGGACAGAACACGGTGAGAGGTGGGGTGGTAGAACTGCCACCCTGGCGCGTCAGGGGGGAAACCCAGGAAGACGCAGGGAGCAGCACGAGGGGACAGCTTGTCCGCAGACAAGTCGCGGACAAACGCCCAAGATCCCCAGACACGGAACGCAGATGCATCGCCAACCTTCCCCGTCCACAGCAAAGCTGGGGAGGTCTCCGGCATGGAGACCCTGGGCTGAAGGTTGATCTGATGCGCCGCGTACCGGACCGCAAACGGCCACAAAAAATGGGGACAGCCGCATGCATCATGGACGTACGAGCGACGTCCATGACCATGCCAATGCGGCGCTCAGCAATCCCATTTTGCTGTGGAGAGTCCGGAAGCGTGAAGGTCTGGCGGATGCCTCGTGCACGACAGTAGGCTCGCAGAAGGCCAGAAGAGAACTCTCCGCCTCTGTCAGAGTGCAGACGCAGAACAGGAAAGTCCGAGCCGAAGCTCTGCCTGAGCTGGAGACGAGCTGCGCGGATCCAGTCGATCAACACCGCAGTGACATCACCCTTGCTGCGCAAGGGGAAGACTGTGGTGTAACGCGAGTAGTCGTCAACCACCAGCAGGAAGTAGCGCTCGTGACCCTGTCCACGGACGCGGGCCGGGCCCCACACGTCCATGTGAAGCGTCAGCAGCGGGGCCTCTGTCGGAGGAAACTGAGAGGAGTGAGGGGCAGCCCGCTGCCGCCCCTCGACACAGGGGATGCAGGTAGGGCCAGGCCCCGGAGGAAGGGGAGGGAGGGACCGGGGAAGACCAGAGACAAGGACACGGGAGGCCATGCTTCGGAGACGAACCAGGGAGGGGTGACCAAGGCGGTGGTGCCAGAGGAGAGTCTCGTGAGACAGGAGACGACACGAGCAGGGGGCAGACTCAGGACCGGACCTGGACGCTGCAGCAAACACCTGACCCGACGCAGCTACCTGACCAGACGCAGTGACTGGAGGAGACGCAGTGGTCAGCGTGTACAGGCTCGACCCCGGCCGACGTGTAAACGTGGCCAGGTGTCGGGGTGTCCGAGCGTCCGTGCAGTGGGTCACCCGTTGACTGGCAGGAGTGAACTGGTGAACCCCCGCATCCTGTAGGTCAGCACCACTCACCAAGTTCGTAGAGAACGAGGGGAGGTAAAGACCAGACAGGGTGCCAGAGGGAGCCGCCGGACACGGGAGGACAGTGGAGAAGTGAGCAAGGACAGGACCCCCAGAGGGGTCTGCCAGAGAGACTGCAACTGGCTGACCAAGCGGCGTGAGTGTGGTGCGGTCTCGAAAGAAGGACCGGGAAGCCCCCGAGGCAAGAGTGAAGGTGTGAGAGGCCGCAGCCGATCGGTACCTGAGAGAGTTGACTCACCCGCACCTGAGGAAGCAGACGCACTAGCACCTAGAGCAGCAGCCGCACCTGTACCTGGAGCAGGAGACTCACTAGCACCCAGAGCAGCAGCCTCACCAGCAGCTTGAGCAGCAGGCTCTATACCCGGGTCAGGCGGTACGCACAGGTGAGGCGATGGGAGGGGGTGATGTGCTATGCTGAGATGTGTGCTGTTGGTGGGCGGATGCATGGAGGCAGGGGCATGATCTTGCTTGGCTTGCTGATGCTCTGCACTGTGTGGTTCGGGCCATCACAACCGTTCGTTGTGTTCTCATCTGCAGTTACACGGCAGTGAACCCATGTGTGAAGCAGCAAGGGTTCGGATTTGTCTTTTCCTAGCTCCCTTCCCCCCACATTCGTTTCCCTCCCATCAACCCCCCAGGTGCTAGACATATTGACGGACGAGTCATCTTTCCCATATGGAGACGACTTTTGAGACGTCTCAAAAGCCATATGGAGCAGAGGGCCCGGCAGTGGATGGGCATCTGAAGCACCCCACGTGCTTACACCCTCCTTTTCTCCCCCCGCCCTATTCCCCGCCCATCACCCCCAGCTGTTGGACATAGTGATAGACGAGTCCTCTCTGCCCTACGGGGCAGAGGGTCCGGCAGAGGATGGGCATCTGAAGCACCACGTGCTAGCAGCCTGGCTTTCCCCCTCACTTTACTCCCCTATTCTTCCCTTCCCATGACCTCCCCAGCTGCTGGACATAATGACGGACGAGTCATCTCTCCCGTACGGAGCAGAGGGTCCGGCAGTGGACGGGCATCTGAAACAGCACGTGCTGGCAGCGTTGCAGCAGGTGGTGGGCGCCGATGGGGGCAGCTGGGTGGGACGATCAGCAGGCGATTACCGGCGACAGCTGGCTGATGCATGGGGCATGTGAGGAATATGAGGGTTTGGGGTCTGGAGTGAGCACTGTAGCGAGATCGATCATAGACAGTGCTGCAAGATGCTTCAGGAAGGAGTGCGAGCTGCTGTGGCAGCTGGGCCTTGGGGTTAACCTGCAGTTGCATTGTTGTCTGTCCTTGACTCTTCTCTTTTGGAGCTTTGGTCCAGTCCATTGTGTTTGGTTTGCTGAGTGGTAGTGTCTGTGTATTTACCTTGGTAGTCTACAACTCCGTGTTGGTATTCTGTTTTAGTACAGCTGGATCGAAAGTATACCGTATGTGTCAAATAGATAGCATGCAAACAAGGAAGTTGCCAAATACTATCCAGCCAGCTCACACACAATCACTCATGTCAGACACACCAAACCAAACCCTTCCATATCAAAGTTCCATGCAACTTGACCTGCCATCCCATGTGCCAATGCCCTGCCATACAACACACCACAACAATATCCCTGTCATAACATAAAATGGGGAGCTCAAATCTTCCCCCCTACCACGAAAGAGCCTCCCTCACACAACTCTCCCCCTCAGCGGGAGATGGGCTGCACCACGAGGGGGGAGCGCACGCTGTGGCCCTGGTTGTCAGCCCAGACTATAAACCCGTACTTGAAGTCATTACTGGGGGTATCCACCGTAAACGTCAGCGTGTAGCTCGCCTTCTCCCCAGGAGCAAGCGTGAGGCTCTTAGCCGACGAAGTCACCTTCACCCCCTGCGGCGCCTTCCCAGATATGCTGTATGTGGACCGGGACTGCCCCACGTTGGTGACGGTGCGGGTGACCTGCAGGGATCCCTGCAGGCGAGGCAGAGTGATGGTGGGCAGGTTGAGGTTGCGAACAGCCAGAGGAGAGAGCTTCACCCCCCAGAACTCCCTTGTCGCGCGGTTGAGGTCCTGCCCGGCAAGGAAATTCTGGTAGTCACGGTCGCGGACATCGTAGGTAAGCCCGGGGTCGAGCATGGCCGGGGGGAACACGTGGCCTGCGCCCATCTCCCACGGGGTGGCCTCCCTGCCCGTCGAACTCTTGATCGGGCTCTTGCTCGTGTCCGTCACCCGCACCGTCGTCATCAGCGCTGACATCACCTGCGCTGGGGTCCAGTTGGGGTACTTCTGGATGATTAAAGCGGCTAGCCCGGCTAAATGCGGGGTGGCCATGGAAGTGCCCGACATGCTGGCAAGACTGCCGGTTTCACCGGGTTTCTTGCCAGGAAAGGCAGCTAAGAGGTTCACTCCGGGGCCGATGATGTCGGGCTTTAAGATGGCGTTGCTTGCCTTGGGCGGCTGGGCCGTGGCGGAGGGCTGCAGCAGGGGGCCGCGGGAAGAGAAGTCAGCCACCACGGGGGCGGAGGAGGAGGCAGTAATGAACGTGATCCCGCCGTCAGCAGTCAGAACGGTGCTGCTGCTGCCGCCCGTGCTGTCAGTGCCGTTGCTGCTGGTGGTGGCGCCGAGAGCGAGCGACTGAGCGCCGGCAGTTGAGGAGGCGAGGGACGCGCCGCCTCGGGCAATGGTGCTGGCGCCAACAGTGAGGTAGAAAGGCGCGAAGTTGTCCAACGTGCGGTAGTACCCTCCACCAATACTCCCGGGAGGCCCGCTGTTGCCGGCAGCAAAGGTGACAAACACCCCGGCAGCATTGGCGCGCATGAAAGCGAGATCGTTGAAATAGTGGTCGTTGGGATCGGGAATCTTGCTGCCCAGAGACAGCGACAACACATCCACACCGTCCGCCACGCCCTGATTGACGGCTGCGATGATATCTGACTCCATCGCGGTCATTGCCCCGTTGCCGTCCTTCCAGAAGACCTTGTACGCCGCAATGCGCGCTGCCGGCGCCATGCCGCTCACCTGCCCGCCGCCCTTCACATTCACGGGGTTGCCCGCGGCCGCCCCCGCGCACCACGTGCCATGGCCGTCCGCATCTCGCGGCGTGAGCCAGTCGTTGCTCAGCACGGGCCGGCCGTAGCTCTGCTGGAAGCCGGCATAGAAGGCCTTGGCGCCGATCAACTTGTTGTTGCACCGGAACGAGCTCGACTGCTCGCACTTGCCCTTCCACCCCGCGGGCAGCTGCGCGGAGAGGCCCTTATCGCTGAAGGAAGGGTGTTCGGGCCAGATACCCGTGTCCACGATCCCCACCACCGTGCCCTCGCCCGCCTTGCTCTGCCCGCCAACTGCCGGCCACACCTTTCCGGGCAGCCCCAGGAACTGCGGAGAGTCGGTCGTCTGCCGGCTGAACACGCGGCTGGCGCGGACGGACGCCACGGCGGGGTTGCGCCGCAGCCGCCACAGCTGGCGCGGCGTGAGGCGCGCGGCGAAGCCGTTGGACGTGTGCTTGTAGCTGTAGAGCAGCCCATCCTCGGGTACGCCTGCCTCAGATGCCACCTGCGCCTGCTGCCGCTGCAGCAGCCCCGCGAACGCCGCCACCTGGGGGCGGTCCATGCTCAGACTCAGCCGGTGCCGCGGACACCCGCCGCCGCCATTCCGACCGCCGTTACCGTTACCGCTGCGACCGCCGCGAGCGCTCGGAGTGGCGGCGGCATCAGATGTGCCGTTTGCGGGCGGTGATGATGGCACCGTCGCGTTTGAGAGCTGCTGGTCGCCGTCGGTGTCGTCCAGATCGACGGACTCGCCGCCTGCGGCGGCGGCGGAATCTCCGGCGGGGAGAATCATCTGCGGCACTTCCTCACTGTCCTCTTCGTCGCTGCCGTCGTCCCACGTGGCCGTCGCGGGGTAGCCCGCAATTCCGCCGCGATATTCGGTGAGGGGAGGCGCCGTGCTCAGGCGAACAATGTATACCGCGGAGCCGTCGGCAGCTGGCGTTGCAAAATTTCCGGAGTTTCTGCGGGAGGTCGCCGAGAAGTGAGCATTCTCGCCGCCGTTCCGCCAAGTAGCGCGGTTCAAGTTGCGCCAAGCTGATTCGCGACTTGCACTGGATGGCTGCGCCGCCAGGAGGAATGCGGCGAGAAGCAGTAGCATAAAGATTTCAGAAAAGTCCCTCATGGCGATATATGAAATCTCTGCGTGCAGTTACTGGTTCTAGTGGTGCCTGTCACGGTTGCCTGCAGGCGTTGTTGGCCTAAAACAAGTAGTCGTAGTAGCAGAACGAATCAAGGAACTGAATTGTGATGCTGGTTCGAGTGGGGTTATGCCTCGCTTTGTACTCACCAGCTCACATGCCAAGCGTCAGCGCCACGTTTGGGTCGAGGCCTCGTCGCGCCGCGATGCCCCTGGTGGGGGAAATCTCGGACTCCTGCAGCTTTGGTTGAACAATGTTTCGCCAGTATCGCGAAACATTTCTTGTCCTATAACGAATGACTGTAAGCCTGCCTCGGGGGCTTCGAGATGCAATCACGTATTCGTTAACGTATTCGCAACCACACCCTCCTCAATGGCTCTTCACAAACCGTGACGGGCACTTCACGCTTGGTCCGAGCGTGCACGAGACAGGGCAGACCCTGTGCTTCAGAGGCTTGTGGTTACCAGCACTTCCGTTCGCATCAGATCTCCTGCCCAGGGAAATTCGTGCTGGTAACTTGCGGTCTTTGATTCGGCAAAATACAGTCACGGAAGTCAACTGTGGGTCAGAGACCTCTGGCAACGAGCAAGAAGTTAGATCAATGGTGGGTACATGTTACGAGTGCAATTGAGTGAACGAACGAGAATTGCACTATCGAAGCAAGAATACAAATGAGCGAAGGCATGAGCGAACATTATATAGCGAAACTACAGTGGTAACGGTAATGGTCGCGCGACGAGCCTGGGACTGAGGTTGGGAAAGTGTCGAAGCGTAGGTCCGGAGCGCGGGTTACCAGCCGAGCCGTGGGGTCGGGATGCGATGTGCGAAAAGGGCGGGATGATGAATGATGCAATGGTCGCGAGTGGTAACGGTGCTGACTGAGGTGCTACAGTGATGTACGCGTTGAGCAGGGACGCGAAGTAAGGAAAAGGGAATTTCCTTACACTACCCCCCCCTCCTAAGGAGGTCCTCCTTATGAAAGCGCGTGGATGTCTCGGAAATTGCGGCTACGCAGGTAGTCGGTGACGACGGGGTGATTTTCAACTTTCTCCAGGGGAACCCAATTGTCCTCGGTGGGGGTACGATCTTTCCAGCGGATCAGAAACTCCACTTTTCGGGCTCCTTGAGGGTCGCGAACTCTGTGGCTCAGGATCTTGTCGGGGGTGATGACTGGTTCGGTTGGTGGTCGTGTCATGCTGCTGGGTCGATGTCGTGGGAGTTGGCTGGTGGATGGCACGTAAGGGCGAAGTAAGCTGACGTGGAACGAGGGGCTGACGTACCAGTCAGCAGGGAGGAGGAGGTGCGCGGTGACTGGCGTGACCATGTGACTGATTCGAAATGGCCCACAGTATCGAGGGCGGAGTTTTGGAGTGATGGGCAGGCGGAGGTTCTGAGTGTCGAGTAAAACGAGGTCGTCGGGCTGATAAGTAACGGGTCTGCGATGGCGATCGGCGTTGCGTTTAGCGATGATGTTTGATTTTTTGATTGCTTCTGCTGCCCTGGTCCGTGCTGCTTGCAGAATCTCGGCGAACTGTTGTGCTCGTGGGACGGGGTTGTCGGGATTCGGTGTCATGGGTACTGTTGGGTCCTGTCCGTAATTCAAGTAAAACGGCGACTGTTGCGTCGTGGCTGATGGTGCGTTATTGTATGCGAACTCGATGAGTGGCAGCTGCTGTTCCCACGTATTCGGATCGTCGCACGTGGCTCGAATCAGCTGCTCCATGGTCTGATTTGTCCGTTCCGTCTGTCCGTCGGTTTCGGGGTGATAGGATGAACTGAACTGTAAGCGCGTGCCGAACTGCTGCCACAGGTTCCGCCAGAAGTTGCTTGTAAATTTCGTGTCTCTGTCGCTGATGATCGATGCGGGTATCCCGTGCAGTCGAACGACGGTGGTGATGAAGAGTCGGGCGGTTTCCTCGGCTGTGATTGATTTCCTGCATGCTGCGAAATGAGCCATCTTCGTTAGTCGATCGACGACGACCAGGATCGCGTCATTCCCACTCGCCCCAGCTGGTAACCCCGTGACAAAATCCATCGTCACCTGCTGCCAAACACGCTCTGGGGGCGGGATGGGTTGTAATTGTCCCGCCGGCCGCTTCCTGCTTGACTTCATGAGCTGGCAAGTGGGGCACGATGCCACGTGTCGTTGCACATCGGTCAACATTTCTGGCCAGTAGTAGTACCGCTGCAGCTGCTGCCGTGTTTTTTCTACCCCGAAATGTCCCGAGGTAACTCCGTCGTGTGCCTCCTGTAACAGTAGTTCCCGCAGTAGCGTGTATCCTGGTACCCAGATGCGGTCGGTTCCAGCTTTTACGTAATAGACTCCTTTTGCCGCTGCGAATTGCTGTGAGTTGCCTCCTGTAAAGAACGGGTCTGTTTGATATCCGTGGGTAAATAGGCCTGTCAGTAGCGGGCTGGTCTGGGCGAGTAGTATCGCGTGGATCTGGGCAGTGGGGCGGGTCAGTGCGTCGGCGATATTCGAGGCTCCTTTTTTGTATGTGACCGTATAGTGAAAATTCGACTCGAGGAAATCGAGCCATCGAATCTGTCGTGGGTTGAGGTGGGGCTGTGCGCGGAGGTACTGTAGAGATCGATGGTCTGTCCGTACTGTCACGTCTGCGCCGGTCAAGTAGCAGCGCCACACTTTGAATGCGTGCACGATCGCGAGCATTTCGCGGTCGTGTATCGGGTAATTTCGCTCAGGCGGATGTAGTTTGCGTGATTCGTAGGCGATGGGTTGGAGGCCGTCGCCGAAGTCCTGTAACAGTACAGCTCCGATGGCGATGTCACTTGCGTCGGTAACCACTTCGAAAGGGCGGTGGGGATCAGCGATGCGTAGAACGGGTGGTGAACAGAGAACGTTTTTCAGGGCAGAGAAGGCAGCATGCTCTTTCTACCCCCACGTAAAAGCGACCCCCTTACGCAGTAAATCAGTGAGTGGGGCTGTTAAACGTGCCATGTCGGGCACGAACCGTCGAACGTAATTAACAAAACCTAAAAAACTCTGCAGTTCCGTAATGTTCGTCGGGGGGCGCCACGCTTTTACCGTATCCAGCTTCTTTGGGTCAATCTCAACCCCAGCCTCCGAAATGACGTGACCCAAAAACTCTAGCCTGTCCCGAAAAAACTCGCACTTGGAGCCCTTGGTGAGTAGCCGATGTTCCTCCAAAACCTTAAAAACTGCTTCAAGATCCACTAAGTGCTGCTGCTTATCCCGGCTGTAAACTAGAATATCGTCCAGGTAAACTATCACGCATTTATCTAAAAGTGGTCTAAATGCCTCGTTCATGGTCATCTGAAATGTCGCAGGCGCGTTCGTCAGCCCGAATGGCATTACTGTATACTCGAATGACCCGTACCTAGTCCTAAATGCTGTTTTGGCGCAGTCCGATGGTTCGACCCGAATCTGATGGTAACCTCCCTGTAAATCTATTTTCGAAAAGACTCGTGCTGTTCGCAGTTGGTCGATCAGTTCGTCGGCGCGGGGGATGGGGTATCGCGATTTGACTGTTACCCTGTTAAGCGCTCGGTAGTCGATGCACATGCGGAACCCTCCGTCTTTTTTCGGTGTGAACAGTATCGGTGCGGCGAACGGTGACGAGCTCGGTCGGATAAACTGCTTCTCTAATAGGTAATCTAACTGCTTCCTTAACTCGTCGAGCTCGGGCTGTGTCAGTCGAAATTGCCGCTGTACAGTTGGCTGTGCCCCCGGTTCTAACTCGATCCTATGGTCGTGCGCCCGCTGAGGTGGCAGTCCCTGTGGTAAATCATCCGGAAATATCCCCGGGAACTGTTTCAGTAGTGCCTGTAGTTCGGTCGGTACAGTTGCCAGCAGTTTCTCCAAATCACTCGGCTGCTCATCTTTTTCTACGAGTGCGATATCCACTGCGTACACGTCAGCTCCAGCAGCGACAGCCCGTTTCATCGTGATGGCGTTGACCTGGACCGTCGAAGATTTGGGTGGCTGCCAGCGAGGTAGAACGACCCAGTTACCACTACTTCGCACTGTGCAGCTCCCCGTCGTCCAGTCGATCCGTGGGTTGTACCGTCGCAGCCAATCACGTCCTAATAAAATGTCGTGCCCATCCAGTGTCGTCGCGAGCATTTCCTGTGTAAACCCGAAGTTCCCCCCGCAGCGGACTTTTACGCGCTCCACCTTTTCCCGTATGGCCAGGGGCGTGCCGTCGACTAAGCGTGCATCTATCTCAGGTAAACATCGATTAAGCGTTAACTGTAATTTTCGTGCGGTTGCGGTATTAACTAAGCTGTGGCTTGCTCCTCCGTCAATGAAGATCTTCACTGCTGCTCCCTGTATTTTCCCGTAGATCAGTACCGGACAATCCGTCGCTGTACCCTCCTTATTCATCCGAGCCCGATCGATGGCGTGAATCGGTACTGTGACTCGGTGAGGGTCGGTGTGGTTGGGCGAGCAGGCAGTCTCGTCAGTAGTTGGCCCAACTTCTACTGACTGCTGGCGTTTCCCTGCCTCCGAGACTCCTTCCCCTGCTCTGCTCCTCGACGCCTCAGCTCCTCTGGACATTCGCTCTTGCGATGGCCCGGCCGGTTGCAAGCAAAACAGCGCCCTCTAAACGGCGCGGCAGCTGCATTCGCTGCGACGGCATGTACAGTGGCGTGCTCGGTCGGTCCCCGAGGACGATGTCCGTAATAGGACCCCGGTCTCGGTCGGCGTAGGATATCGATTTTCTCGGCGAGCGCGAGGATCTCGTTGAAATTCGAGAGCCCGCGTAGCATTATCTCGTGCGAGATGTCCGGCTTCAGCCCTCCGACGTAACGGTCCACCCGCTCCGCCTCGTGCATGTAGCCGACCTGTTCGCAAAGTGCGAGAAACCCGCTGGTGTAGTCTTGAACTGACCCGAGCTGGCGCCAAGTGCGCAGTTTCTGACGCGCCGAAATCGAGGCCGCGATCGGCTCAAAGCGCGCCCGAAGCCCTACGCACCAC